TAGACTGATGATTTTCCATAGTGGTATGTTTGATTCCGTCTTCTTTATCTTTTATGTATCTACCGTAGATTTTTGCTTAGTGGTTACCATAAGGCTTACATAAAGCATTAGAGATATAATAGTCTATTTTAAGCGGAAACAACTTAAGTTCTACTGCATGCAAAACCTTTACCCTTTGCCTCTCCCTTCCTCCACATTTTATGTTTTTGATGTCACAATTTACCTCTTTTTACATTATGTATCCATTAACAAATTATTATGGCTATAATATTTTAAAATATTTTCCTCCTTTAATCTTTATATTAGAGTTAAGTGATTAACACGTCTCTATATTATAGTATTAGAGTATTCTGAATTTGGTGTACTTACCTTTACCAGTATGTTTTATATTTTCTTATGTTTTCATGTTACCGATTAGCCTTCATTCATCTCAAGGAACTCCTTCCACCTTTTCTTGTTAGGCAGACATTGTGGTGATGAACTCCCTCAGCTTTTGTCTGGGAAAATCTTTATCTGTCCTTCATTTCTGAAGGACAGCTTTGCCAGGTAAATGATTCTCAGTTGGCAGTTTTTTCTCTTTCAGCACTGTCTGCATATCATCTCACTCTTTCCTGGCCTGCAAGGTTTCTGCTGAGAAACCTGCTGGTAGCCTTATGAGGGTTTCCTTGCATGTGAGCATTTTTTTTCCTCTTGCTGCTTTTAAGATTCCCTCTTTGTCTTTGATTTTAGACAGTTTTCTTATAATGTGTCTTGGAGAAGACCTTTTTGGGTGAAACTTTTTGAGGACTTATGGTCTGCATGAACTAGGATGTCAAATCTCTCCAGATTTGGGAAATTCTCAGTCATTATTTCTTTAAGCAAGATTTCTGCTCCTTTCTCTTTTTTATCCTTCTGGGATTCCAAGTATGCATAGGTTGTTTCCGTTAGTGGTATCCTATGATTCACATAGGCTGTCTTTACTCTTTTTCATTCTTTTTTCCTTTGTAAATGATCGGTCTTTGACATCATAGATTCTTTCTTCTGCTTGATTAAGTCTGTCGTTGATACTCTCTATTGCATTTTTCATTTCATTCATTGTATTCTTTGGCTCAAGAATTTCTGTTTAGTTCTCTCTTAATTTCTATCTCTCTTTTAAACTTCTCATTTTGTTCACATATTATTTTCCTGAATAATTTTTTTAAAAAAGCATTCAATAAATATTTGCTAGGGACCAGAATAAGGAACTTAGAAAATCCTAGCATTTAATGACGAACCTCAGCATAATTCCATATTTGAATAATCATTTATACAAATAAATATTTATTATCAATTGACATGCAGATTTTAAAATGCATTAATCCTTACAAAAGATATTTTAGTAGTTCTCATCAGACTGAGAAACTTACCAGTGAAGAGTGTCTTTAATTTTTCATATTCTCAGCATAGTAAATATTGGCAGAATAAACAAAAGAATTGGCATTGGGAAAGTGCCATAAACATTATGGGGATTTTTTGGTGAAGTCTTGCCCATTGAAGGCTGTTGGCCTTTGTCATTCTAGGCCACAGGGTGTCACTTCAGAGTAAGATTTCAGAAGTCCCTTAACTTAGAGGAACTTAGCTATTAACCATGGATTTGGTTCTGTATAGCATTAAAAATCATTTTATCAGAAGTATGAATAAATAAATGCAATATGGATACCAAACTATGTTCACTAAAACCTGTGCCCAAAAGGCTACCCAGAATAGGTTCAGAAGCTCCTTGGATTGCAAAAGTCTTTAATTTTCATGGAAATCAGGAAAGCTGTATTCAGAAGCAAGAGCAGCCTCCCCCCCACCAGCTACCAACAAACAAATGGAGTAGCATGGTATAAGATTGCTTTAGTTTCACCCACAGTGTATTTACAGTTTGTGTTCATTTTTGAGGTGTTTTGTGTAGGTAGTTTTAATCCCTTTATGAGAATATTGAAAAGTGCTGGTTAAAATGGGCTACAGTTACCATGGAAACAAAACTGCGCCAACTGCATCACTAAGGACTTGCAGCCTTTATGAGGCACCAGTTCCTCTAGAGTAGCCTGTGCTCTCTGGAGAGCCATTCCTTTGTTACAGGTAAAGGACTTTACAAGATTGTCCCCTCAAAAAGGGTTCTGTTTGCCAAATTATTTCCATGTCCCTGAAGTGGTCCATCTGGACAGTCCCTTGTTAGTAGATTCACAAATTCCAAGCGACTCATTCAAGGGTAACCACGTTATTTACAGTGTTCCTGGATTCCTGTCTCCCCTGAGTGTAATTATTGTCTGTGTCAGCAGATGCTCATTTAACATAGGTGGTGCGTGGACATGATAAATTTCAAATTCAAGGCCATGTTTTGAGCTGTTGCTAAAATATGTTGTCACAAAACAAAACAAATCGAGAAGGGGCAGAACAAGCAGGAAGGAAAGAAATGTAATAGTTGTTCTTCAATGCCCAGGTGGGGCTAGCCGAAATCCTTTCTAAGTGGCTTCTTTGCACCCAGACTGAGTATAGACACCATGTGAGATTTAAGCATGAGTGCTGGCTGTTTTGATGCTGGAAGAGAAGGATGTAGCTGTACCTGGACTCTTTCCTTGATTTTTAAAAATCTTTTACTCTTGAAACAATGCAATCCCCTAGAAAATAGCTATCCGAAATTTCCAACAAGTGCACACACCTAAATCTGAGAGCAATGAGAAGAAAGACGTAGTGGCTCCTGCAAGGTAACTCTCCAAGTTGAGAGTATTTCTTATGCTTTTCTTATTTTCATTACGGAGAGGCTGGATATTTGCTCTTTCTTTTCCAAGTTCTGCAGAGTGGGAATGTGATCCCTCTAGTGAAGCTTTCAGTTTATGAAAATTCTGTTCTAGCAAACTAGCTAGGGTGTCCCGTGAAGATCGCCATTCATGCGTGACCATTTGATCTATATAGCTGGTAGTATTAATTCAGTCCTTCCTGCTTTGGAATCATCCTTTTCTCTCAGTTAGGTAATTTATTAGCTCTCTTTTTTACCTTTCTTGTTTTGCTGTTTCCTTTTTTCCCCCTTTAATAGAAAATAATCTAAGTTGACATTTAAGCCTAGGTTATTTATTTTTCTTAAAAATGTATCCTCTATTTTACCACAGAGCATGAGCTATTTTAACACTAACTATTCTGTATTTTGCATAATTCTAACAGCAAAATTCTCTTTCTTTTCCTTTTGTCACTTGAAGTTTATGATTGGTGTTTCTTACTATGGCGCTATTTCTAAAAATTATTGTATTTACCATTCCTCCCAAAAGGTAATTTAAGCAGATCTTAAAATGTTAAGTTGATTATTTCTATTTGTCTGTTAATGTAGTAGGTATTTGGGTCCTTAAAGTTTTTGATATGCTTCTATCTCTACCCTCACTGCTCATGTAAGATAATTAGAATAAATTCTTATTTATTTTACAAGGTTCTTTTTCTGGATGTAAAGTGTCCTGTTTCAGGGGAGCTTGGATATTCTGCAGCATTCATTCAATGAATGTCTATTGAATGTCTCCTACAGTCCAGGCTCTTTTCTAGTGCTGGATGTTCTAGTGAACAAAACAAACAAAATGCCTGCCCTCGCTGGGGCTTCCCTTCTAGTAGGGGAGACAGATAATACACAATAAAAGTAAAACATGTAGTATGTTATATTGTGATAAAGGCTGGGAAAAAATTTATCAAGGAAGGGGATTTAAAATGAGAATAGTATTGAAATGTTAGGTTGGATGGCCAGAGGAAAGCGTAGTGCAGATATATGGGGGGAAGATTCAAGGCAGAGTAACAGCAAGTGCAAAGGGCTTGAGGTGAGCATGTGCCTGGGGTGTCTGAGAAACCACAAGGAGACCAGGGTAGAGGAGCTGAGAAACTTGCCTCTGCTTCTCCGCTGTCTGCCAACCATATTGTACAGCTCCTCACATGTAGTAACATCAAATATTCATTGAGTGAATTAATGAAATTGGCTTCCAGAACTTTCAGAGGGAAAATCAACAGTGACTAGATATGTGAGGAGAGGGTGAAAAGTGAGATGGCTTCATGGCTAAGCTGTGTATGGTGGGGAAGAAAGAGTGGTTTGGGTGGGGAGGAAAAGCAAAGAGTAGGTTTTGAGATGGAGACATTGAGTAGGCAGTTGGAAACACAAGTTTGCCACTTAAGAAAGCTCAGGCAAGAGAGAGATTTGGGAGGTGACAGTTGAAGATACGGGACTGATGAGATCCTCCAAGGAGGTGGCCTTGGACAGGGTCACGGTGTGGGAAAGCAGAAAGAGGTGTGGGTTCATTCTGTAGGCAGGACCTCAGGCCTTGATGATGGAAGAGAAGTGGATGGTGAAGAAAAGCAGGAGTTGAGCCTAATGCTAGTGCTCGATTGACAATGGTGGTGCCATTGATGAGACTGGGTGCCAGATGGGGCAAGGACATGTTTGGGGTGAAAGTGAATATCACAATAGAAAATATTTAGTAAATGCCAAATTGGGAAGAGGACCTGTATTTAAATCTCGTAAGCTGAGGCTCTCAAAGTCACCTGGGCTAGGGAGAAGCCAAGCAGACCTCATTTATGAGGTAGCCCTCAGTACAGCACAGAAGCTCCAGTGTCACCAGCAGATGGCGCACTCCACCAGGTGATCCATGAGCTTCCAAAGGCTCGTCTGCTGGGAAACCTTGCTACCTTGCCATTCATCCTGGAGCCCTGGAAGTGTTTTTGATGCCTCCCATTGCTGCTTTTCGTTCGGAATCCATCTGTACCATGCTAAGCAGAGCGTGCCTAACTGTTACAGAGCTCGTCAAAGGGATGCCTGTTCCCGTGTGTCCTCTTTCAGAGACTTAGTGCTTTGATACTTGTGCTGTTCTTAGTCAACGTGCCAAATGATATGTAATTGGCAACAGGCAGGGAACAAGTTTCATTTGCTGCTGATCAAGGTTAGATATTAACTGGTGACAAGAGGACAAGATAAATTTGGGACAAAAGGAACGTGTGTGTGGTTATTAATGTGCTGTGTCTGCCTTTAGACATATCAGATGATAGTTTTGCTAAGTGGAAACAGTCAAAATTGGAAGAAGATGATGTTCCAGGCTCCCTTTCCTCAGTGACAGAAGAAGCAGACTTGGCAGGTAACATTATGCACCCAGCCAGCCATTCAAGCAAGAGTGTGACAAATGTGTAAGCACTGAGAGTACCAGTGTGAATTACAGGAGAGTTATAGTTTTAAGATCATAGTCGATACAGACCTAAAGACTAAGCATTTTGTCTTCTTGGAGACAAGTAAATTTTTGCGCAAATTATAGATAAAAGCAAGCACCATCTCCTTCTGGCATTCTGATTTCTGCATCTTAACTCTTTATGGCAAGTGTCAGAGTCTAAGGGTTCTTATAAGTCTCTGCTTTAGTTGATAGTTATTAACTACATTTTCATGTTAGAAATATCCACTCTATACCAATGAAGGAGAATGATTTGAAATATCTGCCTATGTGGGGTTGGCCTTCTGAATGAGTGACCCACTGTGTTTTGAAACAGAAGGTTCCAAGAAGGCAAATTTGGAAGCCCAGAGATGGTAGAGGGTGGTGGTTAAGAGCCGGTCGGCCTGGTTCCAGTTCTGGAACTGTTGGTTTTAGCTTCCACAAGTTATGTGATTTCCCTAAGTGTGGACAAAAATAGTGCCTACCGCACACAGGTTTTGTGAGGATTACATGAGTTTATACATGCAAATCCCTTAGAATGGAGCCAGAAAGCATAAAACTTCTGGCACCCGGAAGCTCTTATGCTAGTTGTGCCACCATAGACATGCCCTACCCATTGTGTCCTCCTTGAAGTCTCTTACAACACCTCAGCCTGCTTCTTAGACAAATGTCAGCTGCTCTGATTTAAAGTCCTGGAAAGTTTTGGATGGAATGAGCACTTGCCAGAGAGTGAGGTTTGATGGGACGCAGCATAAAGCACCTGCCACGGGGACCCTTGGCTCAAGCTGGCCTGGTCAGTCATGGCCAGACTCAGCCATGCTGCAGTCACAGCCAGGCAGCCGATGGGGCTTCCATGGATCATATGTGTGCTTCTGAGTCTCCATCCCCTGGGCAGATGATGGACTCGGCACATCGACTTCAAGCACTTTGTTAGTTTTACTTAATGTTCTGTTTTTGTTGTTCAGAAGGCATTTCTACTCCATCCCTAGAAGTTGTGCTAGAGAACTTGAATGATTCTTCCATTATCACAACCTTTGAAAACTTCACTAGAGAACTGAAAAGACAGTACGAGGTAATGGTCTACTGAGAATGAAAAGCTAGCTTGTTATGAGTTTAAAGTAACAAGCTCGTATTATTCATTAGTACCATTGTTATCCTTCGTATGTGAAGGTGCTTCTGAGTCTCTGGGGAAGTATATTTGTCTTAGCTGTGGTCACTGATTTTAGTGCCTTTGCGAATCGTAGTTTGTATTTATCATACAGCTATTCAGTGTCGATTTGCTACAGTGGGACCAGATGGATCTATATGGAAATCAGACTTGTGGTTTGGTTTCGTTGATAGGATTCTCAAACAATTGAACTACCAGGGAGCAATGATCAGGTCACAGTGATAAACAAGGAGGAAGGGGGAGAAGCGACCGTGTAGATAAGACAAAATGGACAAAGATGGAGGTGGTCAGTTGAGTAGTGGCAGATCTGAGACACTGCACATACAGGCTGTCCCCAAACCTCGTCTACAAAATAAACCTTGGAACTATTTCAATCCTCTCCTTTTTTTGTCCTATTGTTTATAAATCCGTAATGAGTTACTTATTGAGAAAAGTATTTTACCCTAACATACATTCATTTAACTAACTTGGAAGATCTCCAAAATCTGATCTTATTTTCTGCAACACTAATGGAAGCGAATTTATAATGGAAACTTGTTTGTGATATTCAGTCTGTATATTGATTGCATGGATGTAAGTTTTCCTATTTTAGCTTATTGTTCTTCACTAGTACTAAACCTGAGATAATACATGCCAGTGTGTGGCATGGGGCCTCATCACAGTTCTCTAGTGATAATGTTTGCTATGAATATTGCATGCTGGCAGCATTTTTTTAATACAAGGTCTGCACTCGATTTATGGAGTTATGTTTAATGTGATTATTTTGTTGTTGTTATGGTTTAGTTAAGGTACAGAAGGAGTCTACTTCATTCAAAAAATGTAAAGCAAGCACCGGATTGCCTAATGAAACTTTTAAACCAGATACATCAGTGCAGGTAAGTGGGTTTCAAAACAAGTTCATGGAAGCTCACAAGCACTGTTTGTCTCATGACCACTGGGCTGGGGCCGCGAGGAGTTGAAGCCTGAGCACATGTGAGGTTTCATACATCGCTTAACCCTTCCAGAGTTCTGGTTCTTCACTCATACAATGAGTGATTGAACTAAATGCCCTCCTTAAGCCTCTTCATGGTCTACCATTGTTATGATCCTAAAATACTACCCTTAAAAAATTCGTAGTCCCAATGTGAAGACAGGGCAAGCATGGATATATCTATATATCTATATTAAAGAAATACTGCATAAATGATATGTGGTGTATACATATGTGGTATATAAATGATATTGGGATATCATCCAGTGAAATTCTGATACGTGCTACAACATAGATGAACTTTGAGGACGTCATGGTATGTGGAATAAGCTAGATATAAAAGGACAAGTATTATATGATTCTACTTATATGAGGTTCCTAGAATAGGCAAATTCATAGAGGTGGGACATAGACTAGAGGTTTACCAGGGGTCGAGGGAGTGGGAAATGGGAAGCTGATATTTAATCAGTATAGCGTTTCTGTTTGGGATGCTGGAAAAATTCTAGAAATGGATGGCAGGGAACGTTGCATAACATTGTGAATAAACTTAATGCCACTAAGTTGTACACTTAAAAATAGGTAAAAGGATAAATCTTATGTGTATGTTGCCACAATAAAAAAAATGCTACACATCCATGCACACTCACCCCTATGACCATGTAGCAAGAAGTACAAAGGTGCCAGGATTTGAGAGAGATGTGAAGGGTGGGAAAGGAGAGTGGAGAGATGGGTTTCTGTAGTGATCACGGTTAATTGAGAGCGATTCCAATGGAAGTTCTTCTGGAGTGAGATTTTGGAAACAAAGCTTTGAATAGTGTAAGGAAGATGAGTATAGAGATTGATCTTGTGGGAGAGAATGGCCTGTAAATGAAGGCGGGAAGAAGACGATGGCAGGTCAGTTTGCTTAACAGAAGAAGAAAGTTTCTTAGGGCATAATATATCATGTGAACAGGAATTTATAATTTTTTTCAAACTTTTATGCACGCAATGTCATTTGACTCTCAAAACAAACCCGTGAAGGACTTTGGACTTGTGGAATGCCCATTATCTTTCAGAGGGCATACATTCATCCATCTTTTCACTCAGCAAGTGGACACTGGGCAGCGCTGGGTACAAGTCCTGTGCTAAGTAGGGGAGAGCAGTGTGAAGAAGGTCTCAGAGCTTCTTGCCTTCAGGGGACTTCCAGCCTAATGGAAAAGACAGATGATAAGCAAGCAGACAAATAAGCAGTCTCTATGGTGGTTAGATACAGAATAGCAACTGTTAGAAATTTCAGGACTAAAACGTTTAGGTGGAAAAAGAGTTCATTAGCCAATTTCAGCTTCAGGGTCAGCGGAAGGCAGGGAGCAGTGGGGAGCCGTGGTTGGTGTAGTGGCTTCTGGCCCAGGTCTGGCTTCAGTGTCTTCTTCCCTGGAGTCATCTCTGCTTCGCTCTGCTAAGTATGATTTTGAAATACCAGCTTCCTCCGGGCTTCTGGTGAAAGGCGAAATCAAAGTTTGCATAGTTAAGTTTCTAGGGGTGAGGGTGGGCAGGCAGGAGGGGAAGAGATGAGAAGAGAGATGTGTATTCTTAAAAGAAGAAATGTATAGAGAAGAATATGAAGTACTCTTGCGATAAGAGAGTGTCTTTTGTCGCATCCAGGCAGACCCAGTAAAATTTGTTGCTTATATGTTTATCAGACTGAATAAACTAGAGCAGTTTCGCACTTTTGTTCTTCAAGAGCTGAGCAACCTTGAGGAGGCTATTCAGGATCTGAAACACCTTGAGAAGGACGTTCTGGTAAGTTCTTTTTGTTTGTAACATTCTCAGTGACTTAGGATAGAATGCCAGGGTAGAATAACTGCTAACTACTTAAATCTTTTGTTCCGTTTTAGGAATTTTGTAGGAAACAGTCTGACGATCTGAAATCATTCTGTGATCTGCAAGTGTTGAGGTATTTTTTTAAGATTCTTTCTAGAAGTATCTTAGTTGAAGTATGAGGTAATGCTTTGGCTGGAATATGGGTAGTTGATTTTGGTAAAACTTTGCCAAAGTAGCTAAATAGCTACATCTTTTCAAAACAGCCAGTTCTGTGGCACTCCCTGAGCGTAGAGTGTGGCTTATGATATCAATCTAGAAGTGTACCTTTTGAGAAAAACAGGCAGGATCATCCAAACTTCAGTGCTTTTGATCCAAATTGTTTTATTTTTAAAAAATATTTTAAAAATTAAAATGAGTAGATTTTGAGGAAAATATTGAGATTTCTGAGTATAGTTGATTTGCAGTTATATACTGAATCGTGTTCTTGATAGGATATAGTCCATATATATATATATTTTAAATACATATACATATTTTTAAACAACAATTGGGTTTATCCTGCTATGCATTGCTCGCACGGTGATCACTCAGTACACTCTGAGGCTGCTGCTTCTGTCCATTTGGAACATCGTCCCGCTCTCTGGAGTGTGGGGAGTGGGGAGATGGAGAGTGGGGCCCTTCGTGCCTCTGCTTCTGCCCTGGGAGAAATTCTAGTGTTTGCTTTCTGCTTGAGCAATCAAAAGGAATTCCTATATAAATGTGTAATAGCAAAGCTTTATCCACCTGTTGAGAATCAGCTTCTATCACAGAAATCTAAGTCAAATCATTTTAGGAAGGATTTAATTCTGATCACACTAGATATTTCAAACAACAAAAAGTTTTAAAATACGAGTTATCCATCCTTCTGTTACTCCAGTTAACGCGATAAAAAATAATGACAGTATGAGCTATTGATTTTCAAAATTCTTTCATAAACACATCTCCCTCCATGTGCCATTGTCCATGATTAAACTTGGTGTCCTTTAAAACCTCTTCACTGAATGCCCATGGTTGAATGTAAACGGTTCTCAAACTTCTCGGAATTCGGATCTCTTAACGGTTTGGAAATTTATTGAGGCTCCTCAAAGAGCTTTTGCTTTATGAGTCATATCTGAATATTTTCCATGTTAAAAATTGAGACTGAGATTTAAAAAATATATTTACTTAAAAATAACAGAAATAAACCTTTACATATTGTTACAAATAATATTTTTATGAAAAAATAACCAGACTTTTCAAAACAAGGAATATGTGAGAAGAGTAGCATTGTTTTATTCTTTTGTAAATCTCTTTAATATCTGACTTAACAGAAGACAGCTGCATTCTCATAGCCACTTCTGAATTCAGTCAGTTGGGATATCACATGCCACACAGCCTCTGGAAAACTCCGCTATATATTTGTGAAAGAGTAAGAATGAAAAAGACAAATAATGTCTTAGGATATTACTATTATTACCAAAATAGTTTTAACCTCACAGAACCTTTGAAGCTTAGTTTTCTTAGGGGTCCCCAAGGAAAGGGGTCACTTAGGGGTCCCAAAGGTTCACACTTTGAGAACTGCTGATATAAAGCAGTGCTGTAGTAAGCATTAGAGGTTATACTCACTGGTCTTCTGAAACCTGGAGAATTCACTTATTTTGACTAAACCCCAGCTTTTAGACAACTGTCTCTTCAGTTCATACAGATTATATTGTAGAATATTAATTATTATTTGCGTTCATCTCCCTTGAGAACAGGCCACTGTGTGAATTTAGAATACCTCAAAGAATGCAAGTTGCAGGGGCTGGCCCTGTGGCCCAGTGGTTAAATTCGTGTGCTCTGCTTTGGTGGCCTGGGGTTCTCAGTTCGGATCCTGGGCGTGAACCTAGCACTGCTCCTCAAGCCATGCTGAAGCGACGTCCCACATAGCAGAACTAGAAAGACCTACAACTATGTACTGGGGCTTTGGGGAGGGAAAAAGAAGAAAAGAATGCAAATTGCTTCTAAACATATATCCCTCAGCGTTTTGCATTTGGTCTCCTCTCTTCCAAACACCTGAGGAAACCACTGTGTGGCCTGCAGGTGAGAGATGATGGTGATGCTCTCAGCTCACACTGGGTGCTTCCTGGGCACCAGCTCTGGGCAAAGTGCTTGAAGTGCTTGTGAGAATTAGGTTAATTAGCTTGGTTGAGATCCAGTATCTGGATCTGGTTGAGACCCAGTGTCTCTCCTTTTGTCGTGTTTGCACATCGATGATGACTTTACATATTTTTCTGGGGCGATGAGAAGGACATCCCTCAGACTATATTGTTTCAGCCCCTAGCATAGTGCTACAGAGAGTAGCGATTCAATGCTTTGAGTTGTAGTCATGAAATACGTCTACATGTGTTGTGGGCTAATGATATTGACAGAGACAATGCATAAACTAGAATCAAGTGAAAATGTTAATCTCTTATGTTGATATCCTGAATTGGCCATTGACCTTCTTGGCTAACATCCAGTAATGATCTATGAAATAACTTTATGGTATATGTATGTACGTATACAAGTATTCTTATTTTTAAATTGCCTAATGTGAATATAATGCAATGGACCAATTTCTTCCAGGCTTAATCCCATTCAGCCTTCATGAGGAAAACCAAAGCCCAGTTTTATTATCGCATTCCTGGGGTACGTACAAAGGTTTGCTTTGTTCAGTCGATGTGAACTGGAGTAGGGGAAGCAAGCACTAAAAAATGCTCTTACACTTTGTCTATATTGCGTCTTTTCCACTGAGTTTCCTCCTCTTTCATAATATCTCCCATCCTAGAAATTATCCTTTTGGATCCGGGTCATTCATTCAGTCAGTAAATATTTATAATTAAGGCTTGCTCTGCATCAAGCACTAGGCTAAAGATGGAGATACAAAGGTTAACACACAGAGATGTTCCTGCCCCCATTAAGAATAAATTCCTTTAAGGAAGACAAAAAAAGACAAGTAAGCAAATAAAATAATCACAAGTTTACTGAGTGCTTTGAGGGATGCTAACAAGGTGCTTTGGCAGAGAGCAATGGTACGAAGTGTCAGTTTCAGATAGGGTGGTCATCAAAGGTCTGTCTGAGGAAGTAACATTTAGGATGGGGTTTCAAGAACAGGGAGGTACGAGACTTGTGAACAGTTTAAAGCAATAGGATGGGGCAGGGAAGAACCTGACATCGTTGAGGAATCAAAGTTCTTGGATCACAGTGGTGTAAGGGGAACAGTTACCTGAAATGAAGTTGGCAGCATGGCCGACTCTCACTGAGGTAAAGCCTCATTGACCACGTTGAGGAGTTTGAATTTCATACTAAGAGTGAAGGAAAATATGCATGGGTTTTGAGCAAAGGCATTGGGGGTGAGGGTAATATAATCTGATTTATATTGCAAAACAGTAATTCTAACTGCTCTGTTGAGAACTGATTGGAGAAGTGAAGAATAGACGAGGAAGGCTCGACTGGAGGGCTTTGCAGATGGCGAGAAAGGGAGAGACTCCAGATACGTTCTGGAGCTAGAATTAATAACTTACAGACAGATGGAAGCCATAGGTGAAGGAAGGAGAAATAAGGGGACTCCTGGGTTTGTGTCTTTTAGCAACTAGGTGGATGGTGTTGCCAAGTAGAGAATAGGGAAGATTTGGGGTGAGAGAATGTGTGGGTCAAGAAGAAACTAGAGTTCATTGTTAACATTCTAACCTTCAAATGTCTATGACATCCAAGTTTTGATGAGAACCTGGAATAATGGACAATTTTCCAGGAAAACACAGTTTAATGAAATGGATTCTTGAATAGATGGGAAAACTTAGGCAAATATTCATAGAAGAAATAGAGAAAGTTGATTAAGAACTATCATACAAGCAAGTATAGACCCAGATTACATCACAGAGGAATTCTACTTGTCCTTTAAAGAAGGATAACTTGAGTGGTCTTGACTAACTAGGACTAAAGGGTAACTTTAGTACTATTCCAGCATATAGAAGAAGAATAAAAATTCCAAGTTGTGTTTATGAATCTTGCGTTGCAATACCAAAACCCAACAAAAATTGCACAGAGAACCATAGAACAATCTCACTTAACTAAGGCAAAATTCTAAGTAAAATATTGGCAAACATAATTTAGCAGCTTATTAAAGGAATAATATGTCATGACGAAGTGAGATTTATTCCAGGAATACAAAGATGGTTTGATATTAGGGAATCTAATAGTGCATTAATTGCTAACAGATGTAGGAGAAAAATCATTATGATTCTCTCCATGTATTTCAAAAAGCATTTGAAAAGAATTCTACATCTGTTTTTTGAATTTTTATAAAACCTAGTAAAATAGTAATAACTAGATATTCTTTAGTAGGATAAATCTCAGTCAAAGGTCAGTATTATGCTTAAAGAAGAAACTCTAGGTGCATTATTACCAAAATCAAGACCAATGGATGGGGAGCTTCAATAACATAGAGGTGTCAATTCTCACATGATGAAGAGCAGAGCAGAGGAAGCAAGCTCTCTATGATAAGGGCGCTCATCCCATTCATGTGGGCTCCACTCTCATGATCTCATTTAATCCTAATTACTTCCCAAAGGCTCTACTTCTTGATACCATCACATGGGGGGTGGGTAGAGTTTCAGCATGTGAGGTTTTGGGGGGACACAAACATTCAGTCTGTAACATGAAGTTAAAGGATTGACAGTCTCTGTGGGGTCAAAAGTTGTGACAGTGGAGGTAGGAAAGCAAGTAGCTTGGAAAAGCCAGGAAGGTGAGGTCAGAAAGTGGAATGTTGAAAATCAAGATTTCAGAGGTGGGAAGTCTGTGTTGACGAAGAAGTCTGAGAGTGCATGGCTGTGGTGAAATTGAAGAAAATGCTGTGGGAGGTGAGAGTTGGAGAACTGAGAAGCCCGAACATGAAGATAGGTGTCTCCTGACAGTGTTTCAGTGACTACCAAGGCTGACAGGAACCAGGGCTGGGTGAACAGAGGAGCCATAAAGTTGATGGATGCACAGTTCGGACGGATGGCGTAAATGTCAGCAGGGAAGTTTCTACAGGAGAGGGAGTAATGATCTGCGTGTGGCAGTGGGGAGCAAAGAGAATCCCTGCTCCTCCACCTGACCATGAAGTAAAGGGATAGCAGAGAAAAAGTGTTCAATTGAGAGAGGGTGTAAGGACAGGTGGTGCCCTAGGAAGTCAGCCACATTTTAGTTAAAAGAAGGAGGCACGGAGATATTTTCTTCCAAGAAGAGGCTGAGGATATCAGGGAGTTTGTTGCTGACAGACTGAGTTGTAGGGGCTGGAGAGGAAGCCCTTGGTTGGCGAAGGGTAGTTGACTGGGGCAGAAGAGGAGACGTATAACCAGCATTAGGCGAGAATGCGGACAATAACAGCTGTCTTTTTGGTGATTACTAAGGCAAAGAGGGATTTGAGACCGGGTGGGATTGACTCAGAGATTTTTAAAGAAGGAGTTTATGGAATTATCACTGTGAACCCTAATGCTTCCCTGGATGGCCCAGTAGCTCGTGGGTCTACCATTCCATGAACTTTGTGGCAGAGTGGTGAGGCCCACAGAGTAAATAAATAAGGAATGTGCAGAACAACCACCAACTCCTCTGTTCTTGGACCCAGTCACTCTAGGGACAGCCACCATCCCACCCAGTTGGATTCTTTGAATACTCTTTTGTTCATTCTCACAGCATTTAATAATGGGGCTTTTTACACAGATACCAACTCTGAGGTTTTCTTCAATCTAGAGGTCTGAATTAAATTCCCTAAGCGGACCATGTCCAAATACATTTTTATAAGAATGCAATTCCATTTACCTCAAAGAATATAGTAATTATTTTTTAAGAACATGTGTTTTGTTTTATTTTATTTGAGAATAAATGAAGTGGGTGATTTTTTTAAAACTCCTTCCATGTCCAAAATTGTACTTTGTGATTTTTGACCTGGCAATTCCACTTCTAGGAAATTATCTTAAAGATAAAATAGGACTGTGCAAAGATATGTACAATGATATGCATTACAAACAATTCTAAGGGGGAGATACTGGAAAGTGCCTGATTGCCCAGCTAGTGTTTGGTTAAATAGATTGATACATCTATATGATATCCCATGTAGCCATTAAAAAGAGTGATTTAGATTATACTAATTGACTTGGGAAGACATTTAATAGTAAAAAGTAAAAACTTGTTGCAAAGCAGCATATATAACATGATCCCGTTTGTTTTGAATATTAGATGGGGATGTATATGTTCATTCACTCAATGAACTGTTGAGTCTGTTAGCTGCCAAGTGCTGTCTTAGATGCTGGGAGTAGAACAATACCCAGGAGGTCCTGGACCTTACAGAGTGTACATTCTAGTAGGATAAACAGATGGTAAACAAGTAAACAGATAAGAATTCATCTTAGTGGTAAGTACTAAGAAGGAGAAAGTGTGATGAAGGAGAGACTCATAGTGTGGAAGGAGGAGGGTCAAAATCAAACCTTTCAAAGGAAGTGACATTTGAGCTAAAACTTGACGGGTGAGATGGAGCCAGTGGTGGGGAGAATGGGGGAAGAGCATTTCGGAGGGAATGTCGAAGACAGATGTCTGAGGCTATAAGCCACTTAGTATGTTGTAGAAATTCATAGAGAGCCAAACAAAAGGAGTGAGGGTGGAGTAGCATATGATGAGGTTAGAAGGATGGCGTATGGTGGTGTGGTCATCTAGGGTCTTACCAGCCATGGTGAGGAGATTGGATTTTAGTCTAATTGCGGTGAAAGAGGCAATAGTAAAGGACTCTTCTCCAGGTTGTGTGTGTGTGTTGGGCTGTGGAATGGGAGGATGTGGGTAGTGGGGATGGAGTTGGAAGGGTTGCTGATTATATGGTGGATTATATCAGGCAGGTGGGGAAACAGTAGGATTAAGGATAACTTCCAGATTTGGGGCTTGAGCAGCTAGGTGGAAATTGGTGTCATTTAAGGAGATAGTGAAGATTGAGAAAGGTCCAGTTTCGTTGGTAGGGGAAGACGGCGGATGTGGATAGATATTAAAAGTTTGATTTGGGACATACATTTGATTTTTGATTTCAACATCTGAATGGAGTTCTCAAGTGAGCACTGGAGACTCAAGACTGAAACTCATGGCAGAGGGCTCAGCATGAGACTGACTGAGTTGACTTAGGGACTAAGTATAGAGAGAAGACATGCCAGGACAGAATTCTTGGGCTGCTCCAACATGTTGATGAGGAAGAGTTGTCCAATGAGATAACAAGGACGGGGAGGTGTCACAGAAGATGCAAGTTGGTGTGTATGTATGTCCAAGTATACATAGTAAGAGGTCTAGATTCTAGAAGATATTCATCAAATGTCAACTGTGGTTATTTCTGTGTGGTGACATTTTAGTGAATTTACTGTCTATCTTAGGCTGTTCTGTACTTTTAGCATAATATTTATAGAGAGTTAAATTTGTCCCCTCTCCCTAACCCTCCCTTCTCTCTATGATCCAGAGATAACTGTCTCTTTACAGTTTGGTATATTCTTCCAGACATTTTGTCTATGCTTATAGAAAATGCATACATCTGTCTGCATAAATATACGTATGTGTATTTTTAAGTAACATAAATGATATACTAAATATTACATATATTGTTCTTGCTTTGTTCTCTCAACAAGAAAAGTAGGATTCCTTTGTAAGTCAATAATAAGGATCTGCTTACGTTGTTTAATAACCGCACAATACTTTAGGTTATGGGCATGCTAGAACTTACACATTCAATTCCCTGTTGATAAACATCCAGACTATTTTAACGTACTATTACAAATAAATCTTTAGTGAACACCCTTCTATATATATCTTGAGTGACTTTCCTTATCAGGAAAAAGTTACTATTTTCTTTTGGGGAAACAAAAATAACAACAAATCTCCAAATCAAAATAGTACTAAAAGAGGATATGGAAAAAAGACTAATCTGGGCTAAGAATATTAGAGTAATTCCCAGCCCTAATGGATAATTGGATCAAATGTGAATTAAATGTACATGTTACAGTTGGTCACATGTAACAGAAATCAGACTCAGGCAGCTAAGCCAAACAAGGGTTTGATTTATCTTCCATAAGCAGCAGCCCGAGGAAGGTTATCCAGGGCTGGAGCAGCAGCTTGGAGCGGTCATTAGGGACACGGGTTCTTTTAGCCTCTTGCTCTGCCATCCTCCCTGTAGCTTTGAGATTTATAGCCACAGACTGTCTGCTCTACTTCTAGGCATCTCTTCTACGCTCCAGGCGGAAAAGAGGGCATAAATAAAAGGTAAAAGATGTATGCCAGTAGAATCTATTTCTCTTCCTTTTTTAAATTAGGGAAACAGTTTTCGTGAAGCCCAAACTTTTGTCTCCATCTTACCGCCCATAACTGAGTCACACGGCCCTCCCTAGTTACAAGGGGAACTGGGGTGGCAAGAATTTGAGCATGCTACTGTGCTCCCAAAAGTGGGGTTCTGTCAATAAGGAAGAAGGGGAGAATAGATGCTGGGTAGGTTACTAGTGATGTCTATCATGCCTGAATGCAATTACATGTGCTGAACACAGAAAAAATAGAGAAATAACTTAAATGGCCCGGGTGATTCTGTCTGCCGTTCTTCTCAATGAGCATGCGCCCCAGTGTTTGCATTAGAGTGGGAGAATCTTTTCCTGCGTTGATACCAGCCCCTACCTACCCATTGTTTTATGAGCATTGAATTGGGCTGAATGCCAGTCTGGTTATTAATGTCATGCATTTTTCACACAGCATGTCCCCAAAAGCCAGCCCAGCCACTTCCTCTGGTACTCCACCCAAGAAATAGCTGTCTTTTCTCCAACATTGGAGGAAAAAATAAACTACTGTGTTAGACTGTTGGGACATGGCATGTATGTCTTCAGAGTGGCTCGTGTTTAAGAGGTTTGTGAGGGTGGTTTAGATTCGAGCCAGTTTTCATTCAGTGCACTGACTTTAGGTCCCAGTGGCCACGTGAGATGCAACTTCACTGGATGTCTGAGTTGATAAAAAGGAGTGATATTCATATATTGGTTCCCTGAGTTCTGAGGGACCGAGAGGGGCATAGTTCAGGCTCGACTAACTCCTCCTCTTTTCCCTTCCCACCAGTCTGAGCTGCCTGAGGATGAAGATGGCTCGGCCACACAAGCGGTGCACCGGTGCTCTGTGCTCATGCATTTTGCTCACTCAGGATGGAGTCCCTGAGAGCTGCAGAGTTGGAACAGAAGATGTTGTTAGTTTGCAGTTGTGTTCTTATCCATTTGTTCACAAAAGTTAACCCTTTGCATTAAAATTTGGTCAGAAAATGGGAAGTTAAGGGACTTTAGCAACTTGGAGTAGTGTTGCTTTTTTCTTTTTAATGGTTTTAAAAGTAAAATTGATTTTTATTTGACAAGTGTCTTTAAGTTATGTGAAAAAAAAACCACCTTGGCATCTGTATACATACTACTTAGTGTATCTTTTGGAGGGAGAATTTAATTTGAATGTGATGAAAATAGCTCAGATGAAAATGGTGTTGTATTTTGAGATAGTTATTATTTCATTTGATCTGCAAACATTTCTAGTTTCTCTGGCACCTTAACAAATCCTCCAGCTTTAGCAGAGGAGAACTATTCATCATGTGATAATTACTAAATGCTCTAATAAAGTCTGAGCACAGCAAGTTGTGAATACAGTTGAGCGCTTGAATTTATTTGAGAAAAATGAAACCTATGCAATTTAAGGCCATCTACAAAGTAAATTTATGATTGGTTAAGTACAGTTATAGCCTTGACCAAAAACAGTTTATTCATTATATAATGTAACAGTGTAAGTTACATAATATAGCTTATTTATTTTTTTTTAATTTATTTTTTTTTTGGATGTACATCATATTTCGAATTCTGTATACATTACATCGTGTTCACCACCCGAACACTAATTATAGTGCATCCCCTCACATGTGAGCCTAATCACCCCTTTTGCCCTCCCCCTTCCCCCCTTCCCCAAAGGTAACCACCAGTCCAATCTCCAATGCTATGTGTTTGGTCTTTTTTTTTGTCGTTTTTATCTTCTACTTATGAGTGAGAGCATATGGTATTTGACTTTCTCCCTCTGACTTATTTCACTCAGCATAATACCCTCAAGGTCCATCCATGTTGTCACAAATGGCCGGATTTCATTTCTTATGGCTGAGTAGTAGTCCATCGTGTATAAATACCACATCTTCTTTATCCATTCATCCCTTGATGGGCACCTAGGTTGCTTCCATGTCTTGGCTATTGTGTATAATGCCGCAATGAACATAGGGGTGCAAGTATCTTTATGCCTTTGTGTTTTCAAGTTCTTTGGATAAATACCCAGCAGTGGAACAGCTGGATCATATGGTAGATCTATCCTTAATTTTCTGAGGAAACTCCATACTGCTTTCCATAGTGGCTGCACCAGTTTGCACTGCAACCAGCAGTGAACAAGGGTTCCCTTCTCTCTACACCCTCTCCAACATTTGTCGTTTCCTGTCTTGTTAATTATAGCCATTCTGACCGGAGTGAGGTGATACCTCATTGTAGTTTTGATTTGCATTTCCCTGATAGCTAATGATGTTGAGCATCTTTTCATATGCCTGTTGGCCATCCGTATATCTTCTTTGGAGAAATCTCTGTTCAGGTCTTTTGCACATTTTCTAATTGGATTGTTGTTTTTTTTGTTGTTGAGCTGTATGAGTTCTTTGTATATTTTGGATATTAACCCCTTATCTGATATATAGTTTGCAAATATCTTCTCCCAATTGTTAGCTTGTCTTTTTGTTTTGTTAATGGTTTCCTTTGCTGTGCAGAAGGTTTTTAGTTTGATGTAGTCCCATTTGTTCATTTTTTCTTTTGTTTCTTTTGCCCGGTCAGACATGGGACTTGAAAATATGCTGCTCAGACCAATGTCATAGAGTGTACTGCCTATGTTTTCTTCTAGAAGTCTCATAGTTTCGGGTCTTACATTCAAGTCTTTAATCCATTTTGAGTTGATTTTTGTGCATGGTGTAAGGGAATGATCTACTTTCATTCTTTTGCATGTGGCTGTCCAGTTTTCCCAACACCATTTATTGAAGAGACTCTCCTTTCTCCATCTTATGCTCTTGGCTCCCTTGTCGAATATTAGCTGTCCATAAACATGTGGGTGTACTTCTGGGCTCTCAATTTTGTTCCATTGATCTGTGTGTCTGTTTTTGTGCCAGTACCATGCTGTTTGGGTTACTATGGCTTTGTAGTATATTTTGAAATCAGCGAGTGTGATACCTCCAGCTTTGTTCTTTTTTCTCAGGAATCCTTTGGCTATTTGGGGTCTTTTGTTGTTCCATATAAATTTTAGGATTATTTGTTCTACTTCTGTGAAAAACATTGTTGGAACTTTGATAGGGATTGCGTTGAATCTATAGATTGCTTTAGGAAGTATGGACATTTTAACAATGTTAATTCTTCCAATCCAAGAGCACGGAATATCTTTCCATTTCTTTGTGTCTTCTTCGATTTCTTTCAACAATGTTTTATAGTTTTCAGTGTACAGATCTTTCACCTCTTTGGTTAAGTTTATTCCTAGGTATTTTATTCTTTTTGTTGCCATTGTACATGGGATTGTATTCTTAATTTCTCTTTCTGCTACTTCGTTGTTAGTGTATAGAAATGCAACCGATTTTTGTACATTGATTTTGTATCCTGCAGCTTGACTGTATTCCTTTATTATTTCTACAAGTTTTTTAGTGGACTCTTTAGGGTTTTCTAGATATAAAATCATGTCATCTGCAAAGAGTGACAGTTTCACTTCTTCTTTTCCAATGTGGATCCCTTTTATTTCTTTTTCTTGCCTGATTGCTCTGGCTAGGACTTCCAATACTATGTTAAATAAGAGTGGTGACAGTGGGCATCCTTGTCTGGTTCCTGTTCTTAGAAGGATAGCTTTCAGTTTTTCTCCATTGAGAATGATATTTGCTGTGGGTTTGTCATATATGGCCTTTATTATGTTGAGGTATTTTCCTTCTATACCCATTTTATTTAGAGTTTTTATCATAAATGGATGCTGTATCTTGTCAAATGCTTTCTCTGCATCTATTGAGATGATCATGTGATTTTTATTCTTCATTTTGTTAATGTGGTGTATCATGTTGATAGATTTGCAGATGTTGAACCATCCCTGCATCCCTGGAATGAAACCCACTTGATCATGATTAATGTGTTGTTGTATTCAATTTGCTAGTATTTTGTTGAAGATTTTTGCATCGATGTTCATCAATGATATTGGCCTGTAATTTTCTTTTTTTGTGTTGTCTTTGTCTGGTTTTGGTATCAGGATAATGTTTGCTTCATAGAAGGAGTTAAGAAGCCTCCCCTCCTCTTCAATTTTTTGGAAGACTTTGAGAAGGATAGGTATTAAGTCTTCTTTGAATGTTTGGTAGAATCCACCAGGGAAGCCATCTGATCCTGGACTTTTATTTTTTGGGAGGTTTTTGATTGCTGTTTCGATCTCCTTACTGGCGATCGGTCTATTCAAATTTTCTACATCTTCTTGGTCCAGTTTTGGAAGGTTGTATGTTTCTAAGAATTTATCCATTTCTTCTAGATTATCCAATTTGTTGGCGTATAGCTTTTCATAGTATTGTCTTATTATCTTTTGTATTTCTGAGGTGTCCATTGTAATCTCTCCTCTTTCATTTCTGATTTTATTTTATTTGAGCCTTCTCTCTTTTTTTCTTGGTGAGTCTAGCTAAGGGTTTGTCAATTTTGTTTATCTTTTCAAAGAACCAGCTCTTGGTTTCATTAATTTTTTCTATTTTTTTAGTCTCTATTTCGTTTATTTCTGCTGTGATTTTTATTATTTCCTTGCTTCTGCTGATTTTGGGCTTTGTTTGTTGTTCTTTTTCCAGTACCTTTAGGTGCGATTTTAGGTTGTCTATTTGGGATTTTTCTTCTTTGTTGAGGTAGGCCTGAATTGTGTAGCTTATTTATTAATAGTTTAATCTGCCTGAAACAGATGTTTACAAACCCAATTTGTCGTCATCTTTTCTTTAGAATTTTTTAATGAGCTGTGTTTTGGTATGTTGTTGTAAGCTTTATAGAGTATAAGAGCACTTATTTTTTATGTCCAAAAGATTTAATTAACCTCATTTAATTTACATATTCCAGTTTAAGGCTCACAATTTCTGGTGACCTGGAGTTGTATGGATTTCAGAACCATTACACTGACTGTCTGCATTGAAGGACATTTCAAGAATGTATGTGGGGGCCGGCCCCGTGGCCGAGTGATTAAGTTCACACACTCTTCTTTGGTAGCCCAGGATTCACCAGTTTGGATCCTGGGTGAAAACCTAGCATGGCTCCTCAAGTCATGCTGTGGCAGTGTCCCATATAGAAAAACTAGAGTAACCTACAACCAGGATATACAACTATGTACTGGGGCTTTGTGGAGGAGAAAAAAAAAATGAGGAAGATTGGCAACAGATGTTAGCTCAGGGCCAATCTTCCTCACAAAAAAAAAAGGAAAAAGTATACCTTAAAAAAAAAAATGTATATGACTTCCAGTAACTAGTAAACTTATATCTGAGCATTGTTCTCTCCAAGCCTTGAGTTAGCTCATGGGGTGAATGATAGGTTGCCTAAGAGGTGATCTTAGCTAGGAAGAACTTAGTCTAAAGACATCCAGGTAACTGAAAAATCTCAAAGCTGTGTATGACAAGTGCCATAAATGACATGTAAACTGAGCACCATCAGAGTTGTGAGGAGGGAGAGGTCATTTTGTTGGGGGGCTATCAGGAATGGCTTCCTGGAGGAGAAGTGCCATTTGAGATAGATCTTAAAGGATGGGGAGGGTTTTTCTATGGTTAGCAAAGAGAGACTAACATGAATAAAGGAACGGAGACAGAAAAATGCAGCATTTGTTCAAGGCCATAGTACTATGGAGTATTCGCAGAAATTAAATTTGGCTTGGCCTGAACTGAAGTGCCTTTCCTGGCTTGATTAGAAGGACTTTATCCCACAGGTAAGAAAGAGCCACTGAAGACTTCGTGCGGACTGAGCACAAGGCGGTTTCGGAGGATTACTAGTAGCAGTGTGAAGACGGAGCTCAGTTTACCAGGAGGACGCAACTGCAGTAAAGGCCTGCGCTAGGATAGAGGTTCTGGAAGGAAAGGAGGGGACACGTGGGACAGGTCAGGGCAGGTGTAGGAGCTAATTTTGAGGATGGGTGCGTGTAAGTTGCAAAAACCACCAGCTTGAGATATTGGGGGACATCTCTTTGAAAATATCCCCCAAAAAGTATTTGTCGAACACGTCTTATTCAGCGAATCCTTCCCGAGCCCGGACTGTGTGCCAGGCACTGTGCATGGCACCAAGGGTTCAATGATGATATTGTCCCTGCCCTCAAGGAGCCAGCAGACGGAAGGGACAAATAGTTATGCAAAGAAACATGGAAAACAGCTTGATGACGCTCTGCCAGGTTGAGTGAGAAGAGTGGGTGGGGTGGCGGGACGTGGGCGTGGAGGGGCTCTTGTGGGTCACGTGGAGGAGGACAGAGGGCTGCGCGCCACGGGGGAGCTGATTCAGCGAGCTGAGGAGCAACAGTGCCACAGCTCTCCTCACCCGGACCCTGTTGACTTTGTCCCACCACTGCAGGTCTCTGCCCAGCTCTGGACCACTGCTCTCCTCCTTTTGG